CCCAAACAGTTAACAATCACATTTTAAAAACAACAACAAAATCCTTCAGTGTAAAATTTCACGGCCTTACGATGTGCTGTCGTCTCTGCTGATATCCATCCCCCCCTCACCTGCCCCTGTTCATATCCACATTAGAATTCTCAAATTTCTACTACAATTGGTTTTTTTCTTATTTAGGTTTTTCTAAAGCTAGGGAACAGTTGGCAATCTTACTTTGGAAAACAATTCTTTCTATTTATCCTAGTTCCTATAACCTGTCTTCGTATATTCTTAATTTCTAAACTCCTTAGATGAACTGTAGGGTTCATAACTGACAATGGATGCCTGCCACAAGTGAATTTGGCTAACGCCGAGTGAGTTTGGTTTCTCGCTCTTAGACAGCCTGTACATCTGTCCTGTTAGTCAACAGCGCAAGAAATGATCTAGTAACGCTAATGACCTGCTGGGAAGGCAAAAGTAAACTTATGTAATGAAGCATCCGATACTCTTCTCTACGTATGTAATATGATATTTTAGTGAGTTAAGTGAGTTTGAACATTTAAACTCTGAATAACCCTTACAAATTGTTCTCTAAATGTAAAGAAGTATTCCACACACAATCTAAAATCTTAGAGACTTGTTTTCAATGGCTGCTTCCTGCCTGTTGAGTATAAAAAATGTTCTATTTGATCACTTCAAAAGCACATAGAGAGAGAAGAGCTTTAACGTAGATGTCAGAAGAAACATAAAAGAAATATATGAAAGGATGGCTTTGTGATAATAAAAAATAGTTGCAAGACTTTTGAGAATATTATGAGGAAACCGACAGTTTCTGTTTATATTCCAAAAACGATCCACTAAGTGGATGTCTGTCTTCACAGTGAGAAAAATTGTCGAAAATGAGAAGGTCAGCAGATCTGAACACAGGTAAATTATAGCATCCTCTGACATTTTTAAATGATTTCAAAAAAATATAGTTCTTTATCTACCACAGTAGAATTGAAGGAACTAATCACAGACAAAGAATCATAGGCCCTTCTCAACTGACTGATAAACTTTGAACCAAGCAGGAGTCTCCTAACAACATCACTGACCCAGGGTTTCCTAGCATCTGTTATGACGTTTTCAGAGACAAGAAATCTGTTCCAACACATTACACCAAAGTTGTTCTCCCTTTGACTCTCTACCAATGTTATAATGGAAAATAAGAATGCACTCCTTGCCACAGAGTAGCTCTTTAAACGTATAAAATAACTAATATCATCTAGTACCAAGTCATTTAAGTTTAGACTATTACTCAGTTCTCTCAAGCTCGGATGAAAAATGATTCCCGGACCTTTTAACATCTTAACAAACAACTCCTAACATCTTAAAAACCTTCAGTTACCCATATTCTTTTGAAGTGGGGCTCAGAACTGGACATAAGAATCCACATGGGGTCCAACAACTGAACAAGCAGTCAGGAATCATTAAGTTGATCTAGAATCCTACATGTATGAATTTAGTTAAAGACTGCCTTAGTTTCATTTTACTAGCTATGAGATAATGGAAAATATGTATATTGTTTTCTGTCCCTGGTGCCTGACACAGAGCTCCAGAAACCCTTATAATTTCCTAAGTGATAAGAACACTAGGAGCGTCTTTTGTTCTAACGTTTGGTCTTTGACTCCAGTTCCTGACACAGGGCTCCTAAATTCCTTGGAATTTCCTGGGTGATAGGAGTATCTTTTGTTCTACTGATGTGACTCTGGGTGGGCTCCTGGAACCTTCCTGGAGGGGGACTCATCACAGGAAAGACCAAGCCATGATTAGAAGCTTGGAATTTTCAACTCCCCCCTCCCTCCATTCTCCACAGAAGAGAGAGGACTGGAAATGGAGATTATGCCTGTGTGAAGAAGTCTCCATAAAAATCCCAGAAGTATGGGGTTTGGAGAGCTTCCAGGTTAGTGAACACATTCACATACCGGGAGAGTGGTACATCTCAACTCCACGGGGACAGAGGCTCCTGCACTGGAGACCCTCCCAGACCCCGCCCTATGTATTTTTTCATCTGGCTGTTCATCTGTAACCTTTATCATATCCTTTAATAAAGTGGTGAACATAAGTGTTTCCCTGAGTTCTGTGAGCCCTTTTAGCAAATTCATCAAACCTGAGGAGGAAGTTGTGAGAACCTCTGATTTGTAGCTAAATTAGACAGAAGTTGTGGGTAATCTGGGGACCTACGATTTGCGATTGGCTTCTGAAGAGGGGGCAGTCTTGTGGGACTGAGCCCTTAACCTGTGAGACCTAACACTATCTCCAGGTAGATGTGACAGAACCGAGTTGGACATGCAACTGGCGTTGAAGAACTGCCTGGGGAGGGAAAAGCCCCACACATCTGGCGTCAGAAGTGTTGTGAGTGTGGTAGCAGCATGACAGTAAAGAAGAAACCCAGGAGGAGGACTGGAGGCGCTTCTATGAATGCTTTCTTAATAGTTCAGGATTTTGGATTCCTTCAGTTCTGATTGTAATGGACATCTATTCTTCTGCGTCTCCAGATCTTCATGTCCTGTTCCAACATCTCTGTTATTTGAGAAAGCCCGTCCTTATCCCCTTCCTCACCAACTGGCTGGAGTTGGAGCAGCCAAGGAGTTGATTGAACCAAGAGATGAAAATGTGACCCAAATTCCTTCTCTCTCTCTTTTTCTTTTTTTTTTTTTTTGAGGAAGATTAGCCCTGAGCTAACATGTGCTGCCAATCCTCCTCTTTTTGCCGAGGAAGATTGACTCTGAGCTAACATCCATGCCCATCTTCGTCTACTTTACATGTGGGACGCCTGCCACAGCATGGCTTGATAAGCTATATGTAGGTCCACACCCGGGATCCAAATTGGCAAATCCAGGGCCACTGAAGCTGAGGGCAGGAACTTAACAGTTGCACCACTGGGCTGGACCCCAAAGTCCTTCTCTCTTTAAATTGGAAACAGACAAAGAGATTATATTCTTCTCTAGTGATGAAACTATGAGATGCAGGACTGTTAGCAGTAGCATGCCTCTTGTGAATAAAGCTAGCCTGAGAAAATAAACAAATATGTGATGAAAAGTAAGGACCACTCTGGCCGTGTTCAAGATCCTGTCTCCAATTGTCCCCAAAGCTTAGCTGCACCCTTAGGTTCTCCATGAGCTAATCAATTCAAAATGAAAAAGAAAAATAAGCTACTTTGCTTACAAAACAAGTGCTAACTTAAATATAGGTTTTTCTATCTAAAGTTTGTACTTATTCCTCCCTCCCAACTTCATGTCCTATATTAGCTTTCTTTTGATGCTGTAACATAAACTTGGTGCCGTAAACAATAGAAATTTATTATCTTAGACTTCTATGAGTCAGAAATCCGACACAAGTCTTAATGGCTAAAATCAAGATGTCTGCACAGCTGCCCTCCTTTCTGCAGGTTCTAGGAAAGAAAGTTTACTTGTCTTTTCTAGCTTTTAGAGACCATCTGCATTCCTTGGCTTAATGCTCCCTTTCCAGATCTTCAAAGGCAGCAACGTTGTATCCCTCTGACCATTCGTCTGTAGTCACAGCTCTCTCTGACCCTGCCCTCAATTGGAAAAGGTTCTTTTAAGGCCTCTTGTGTAAAGGTCCTTCTAAGGACCTACTTGGATAATCCAGGATAATCTCCTCATCTCAAGGTCCTTAATTTTAAGCACATGTGCAAAATCTCTTTTGCCATCCCATGGAACACATTCACAGCTTCTGGAGGTTGAGACATGGACCTTAGGAGGGGTGAAGGGGTGCAGATGGGGACAGGACATAATTCTGCTACCACTAAAAATGAGAAGAGCATTTCATCTCTCACCACGTTCAACTCGGTAGTAAAAATATATTAAACAAAAGAAGCCAGACACCCTCCACCTTAATAGCAGCCTGCTAATCAACATTATTTGGGAACAACTTAATTTGAAATAACTCCTTCAAAATTGTTTTTCTGGAAAGGAAACTTCTGCTGGTTTTATCTTTGACAGAAGATGAGTTTGAAGATCTTACTGGATTTCCCCAGCATACAATCAGAATGCCATCTTTGAAATGTAGAATTAAAACCATTTCCATATCCAGTGCTTGAAGCCTGAGGCTGCTATCATTCCTGCATATAGAGAGTAAACACAGCACCTCTCTTTGTTTTACTAATTGCTTTGTTTCCCCAAGCTGCCATCACAACATCTGCCAGGCCAGAATGCACTTCTTCCACACACCATAGAACCACTCCCGGCCAGATAAACGACCTCTGCTCCCAGTGGAAGGACAAGTGCTTTCCAACCCTCAGCAGGCAGTCTTCGAGAGGCAAAGACTTCAAGTAGAAATGAAGCTGCAACTCACCCCCTCCCAGAATCTTTGGAGTGGTTATGGAGTTGTTGGTTCTGTAACGATCTCATACTGTATGTGATTTTATTGATTTTGTTTTTCAATAGAACTGTTAAAGATTACAATTCTCAGATAGGCAGAATGTGGGCAGATGCTCATATGCTCACACACAGTTCTGCCAAGATATTTTTACATCTTTCTGCACATAAAGTAAACTGAAGACATGTGTTATAGATGCATGGTATTTGTAACCCCCCAGGAGAAGGAGGGATTTATTGTCTGCTCATTTCCTGGAAGAAGTATTAAAACAACTCTATCTAGAAAAAATGAACAGCACTTTCAAAATAAAAGAGATTTGCTTCTGAGGCACCTTAGAAAACATTCCTAATTACCAAAACCCATTGAAATGGCAATTCGGGTCATCATATCCAAATGTCATCCCTGCTATTTCTAATCCAATATCAACTTCTTGTCACATCTACTGGGTAAGCATCAAAATACAAAATGCTGTGACAGCTCATGCTCTGTTGGTGTTCATTCATCTACTGTGCATCAGAAAGGCTCATTTCAAATATGGCATGAAAGAGAAAAGTAAGCAAAACACAAACTCAGAAGAGATTTGAAATAAATTGCCTCAAGAAAAACACTTGAGAGGAACGACAGTAAAATGATAGCCTTACCTTGGAAGACTTGGGCAGACCCACTGTCCCTTCTTCTGCTAAGCTGAGCAGGGTTAACTTTGTTTCCTCCACTGAAGGATGCTTGGGAGGGCGAGGTGGAGGGTGCAAGAAAGAGCTTTCATATCTCCGCATCATGTAATACTGTTCTTCTGTGATCTCTTCAACCAGAGTCCTGACTACAAGTGATCCTGTATCCCTAGACAAGTTACTAACTAGCTGAACAGTCATATTCAAGCGTCCGACAGGAATTTCCCAGCATTCCCTGGGGTTGGCAAAGTCACTTACGAGTAGATAAGAGTCTGTGATAGCTTCCTCCAACTGCAGTCCTGGGGTAGCAGCCAAAATGTCTTCTTCAATGGAAAGATCTCTCACAGATACCTTCACATTGAAGGGCAAGTGGAACTGCGCACAAAGCTCAGAAATCTGGTACTGTTTCTTATCATGAATCACCTCGACGAAACCTCCTTCCATGTACAAAGGGAACAGTGCCGCCTCATAAGATTTTTTGAGGATTTTTTCACAGGCCAGAACGTTCACCACTTTTTTGATTCCCTCACAGAGGACTTCAGTCGTCTGTGAGTGATGCACTAGAAACTGGTCCCCGACAGATACGGATGACAGCTCTTCATGAGGAGGATGAAAGGCTTTGGTGGCCACCACGTGGAGACGCTCCTTTTCACTCTTCGCTATCTCTAAGTCATAGGCGGTTGGGAACTCCCGAGGTCGTCGCTTGAATTTACCTTTATAGCTAGTGGGGATCAAGAAGTGTCTTTTAGGAAAATTGCTTCTAATTTCTGAAGCTAAGATCCTTGATGCCTGGTACTTTTTGTGGATCATAATGGTTTTTCCTGGCTGTAAGATGCTTCTGGGTAGCTGGGTTCCTTGAGATGCTTCTATGACTTCGGCCACTATGGGGAACTCTTTACTGGTCATTTCAAAAAGATCTTGTGTAGATAAGAGCTGGAGAAACCAGTTGGCATCATAACTGTCAGTAATGTCTTTGACTTCAACATCTAAACTGGGGAGGATGCGGACTATATCCTTTCGGACTGAAAGAAAAAAAAATAGATTATGACATTTTGTGCATCAAAATGTTGCAGTGGGGAGATATAAGAATCTCTCCAAGTGCTAGAGAGAAATTTCATTTAAAAAAAACAAACTCAGATGTTCATGATATAACCTTTCCTATACGTGACTTTCCTTTTTTCAAATTTTAAAAACAAATAGATCTTCTATAAAACCAATACCCATAAACCTGCTGCTCAGCTTAAAAAATTAACCAACATCTTGGGGCCGTATGAACTTCACCAAAATCATATCCTCCTCACTGTAGCCTAAGGGTAACCATTCTCCTGATTCCAGTGTTAATCATCCCCTTGTTTTTCTTCATAGTTTTATCATACATAACATACAGGAATATATATGCATGGGTGTAAATGCATATGTCCATGCATTTTTTCCAGAAGGTTTATTATATCATTTTAAGTCATGCTCTTGAGATCTAGACATTATATGTAAAATTATCTTAGAAGAAAGTTTTGGTACATCAAATAAGACCCTTCCTGCATAAGGCCAAAACATACGTTTTTTACACAAAAATTTGGCCTCTGGGTACAACCACGTTGTAAAATCAGGGTGGTAAGGTACTTAAGATTAATATATGGAAATGGATACTAAGACGGAATCTTTTTCCAATGTGAAAGCTATTTCTTTCTCCAACAGTGCTGCATTAACACCTGAAAAAGGACTGGCATAGGATGGGTCGCAATGGGAGGAGCCACTCAGGAGCCCTAGGTACGCTGGTGGGTGCTTATCAATGTCTTCTTTGCTTAATGTGTCCCTCTGCACTAATGACTCTCTATATTCTTTCCAACAGTCCACTGTCCCAGAAGTCATTCTTTGAGACTACAGAGACTCAATGCATTGTCTTGAAACAATCTGCTCTCCATGTACTTTCCCACATTATATACTTATGAATGATCTTACATTAAAAAATAAAGTTACATGTTAATATTAACAGGATTTTATAGTGGTTTCTATTTTCTCGACAGTTTCTTAACACTTAATATTTTACAGCATTTTCATGATCTGCCACTGTTTCCCAGTATCTCTAGCCACCCTTCTGTTAACATTCTCTCTTCCTTGCATGCCTTTGAAAATGAACGATTTGGAAGATTTAGAAAACAAAATTTTTTCTTATAAAACATTACCTATATTATTACTTTTTATATTATTAACTGTGCAGCATCTGAAAACTGTAACTCTATAATTTGTGTCATATTATTTGTACATGCTGTGTAACAACTTCCTGAAGACACAGCATGAAAATGTATTATTGGGGCCAGCCAGGTGGCAAAGTGGTTAAGTTTGTGCTCTCCACTTAGGCAGCCCAGGGTTCGTGGGTTCGGATCCCAGGTGTGGACCTACACACTGATCATCGAGCCATGCTGTGGTGGCATCCCACATACAAGATAGAGGAAGATTGGCACAGATGTTAGCTCAGCAACAATCTTCCTCAAGCAAAAAGAGGAAGATTGACAACAGATGTTAGCTCAGGGCCAATCTTCCTCACACACAAAAAAAAGTGTCATCTTATTGTCTTGAATATAAAAAAGAAAAAAGAAGAAATCAATTACTGTCTGTAGGCTGCAGGTTGTAAAGATTCCTCATTTTAAAAAAAAGAGAGAGGGGCTAAAAGAACACTTCTTACCTTTATCAGTTCATTTTATAAAGTTTAGCATATCCAGACTTTTGAGATTGTTGCCACAGAACCCAAGGTAATTTAAGAAACTCTGAAATCTCAGTTATGTGGTTCAAAAGGAACTAGGTATAAGAATTGTAGAGCTAGCTAGGGAACACCTAGACTTTGGTTGAATAGATACCATTAAGAACTTTCTGGGAGATCTAAATTGATCCATCAGAACATAGGGACTCTAAAGCAAGCTGGATGCCAATCTATATTTGGGCATAGTGGGTACTGTGGGAAAGAAATTGTCTTAATACCTTAGGAAGACTTTATTTCTGCCAGAGAAAACCTCCAGGCCAGGCTGTCTAACCTCTGTTAAATTTTATGCATGTAATTCCTGGCCTATCTTCAATACTTCTGTCCTAAATCCATGGAAGGTGTGCCAGCCTATCTCATCCTCTTTGATCTGTCAGCAGCATTTGACAGAGTGGATTGGACTCTCCTCTTTGCTATATTTTCCTCACTTACTTCCTTCTTATTTATGATTCTTCTCAATTTCTTTGCTGGTTTCTTCTGTCTACACACCACCCACTCTCCCCACACACACACCTTTTAGTGAGTCTTGGTTCTCTTCCTTTCTCTATCTACACTCACGCCCACCGTGAGCTTACACAGTCAGTCGCATGTCTTTAAGTACCATCTGTATGCTGATGACTCTCCAAAGTATGTCTCCAGCCAAACAATTCTCCCACACTCTAGATATCTACTTAAGATCTCTGCTTGGATGTCTAATAGATGTCTCAAAATTAACATGCCCAAACCAAAATTCTGATCTTCCCAACCAAAACCTAGTCTATTTGTTGCTTTTTCCATCTCAGTTACTGGGACTCCATTCTCCTTGTTCAGTCAGAAATCTCAGAGCTTCTTTCCTTTTCTAGGATCTAACATTTATTACATCAGGACTACCCTGATCTAAACCACATAATCTCTTTCTTGGTTTATTGCAAGGGCTTCCTAAGTAGAGTTCTTACAGTCAAATTTGTATAGGACTGCCAAATTGATACGTCTCTCTTCTGTTCAAAGCCCCACAATGGCAGTCTTTTTCACTCAGAATAAAAGTCAGAGCCTTTGCCATGTTCCTACGCATCACTTGGATCTCACCTGCCACTGAGTTACCTCACTCTAACCTACTGCTGCCTCCTTGGCCTCCTTCTTGTTCATCAGGTCTTTGCATGGCCTGTTTCTTTTGCCTGCTACATCCTTCAGCCTGATATGTTCATGGTCAACTCTTCTTCTTCAAGTCTGCTTAAATATCATCTTCTCAATGAGATTTACTCAACAAATGCTTGCCATAGATTGAATGTTTGTGTCCCCCCTAAAATGCATATGTTGACACCTAACGCCCAGTGTGATGGTATTTGGACACTAGACCTTTCAGAGGTATTTAGGTAATGAGATTAGTGCCCTTATAAAAGAGACCACAGAGAGCTCCCATGCCCTTCCGCCACCTGAGGACACAGTGGGAGGATGGCTGTCTGTGAAGCAGGGAGCAGATCCTCGTCAGACACCAAATCTGACAGCACCTTGCTCTCGGACTCCCGAACTGTAAGAAATAAATTTCTATTGTCTATAGGCCACCAAATCTATGGTATTTTGTTATAGTTACTGAATGGATTAAGACAGTGTTCTATTTAAAATTACAACTATCTCTATCCCCTGCCCTTGTCTATTTCTTCATTTTCCATGTCACAGTTCACCTTCAACCATTCCATATAATTTGTTTATTTATTATAACCACTGTTTACTGTTTGCTTCCCAAGATTGGAACATAAGCTCCACAGGGACAGAAGTCTTTGATTGTTTTGTTCACCAATATATCCCGATATCTAGAATGGTGACCGGCACATAGTAGGTAGTCAATAAATGAATTGAATAAATGAAAAACAGTTGCCAGAACAATGTCCTTGATTGAGCGCTAAAGGATGTGATCCAGTAAATAAGTGGAGTTCCACGTAAAATTTCATTGGGAAACAAATAGTTTCTACTGCTAAAACTCCTGCTATACGCCATAGAAAATATTATATATTGCATTTAAGACATGTCCCTTTAGGTTGTAGTTATCTTACTTAACGGTTTTTTCAATGCAATAAATATTTTTGTTTAATCTCTACAAAATAATGATCTAGACATTTTAAGGTATAAAAACCATCATGATGCATGTGCCTTAAGAGAAGATTCATGGAAATACCTGGAAATACCACATGCAGTGAAAAATCAACAACTCTTCTTAGATCCATCAGAGAGAAGCAAGGGTACAGGGCAAACCATCAGCGTAAAAACTAGAGAGATAAGTAAATAGAGAGAGTTACAGCAAAGTGGGTGCTGAAACCACTGCCGGAGCCAGCAACTGGTGAGAACATTTTAAGAGTAATTGACTAATTGCTGGAGACTATGCATGGACAAGCTTGAAAGATAAAACTTCTGGAGGGCCAGTCTTAGGGACATCCCCCCATGTTTTCATGAGTTTACTTCCAGGAGCTCACCAGGGTTTCAGGGTGAAAATTGGAGAAAAATCCCCTCATGGTTTGGGCAGGATGCAGGGGAAAGTAACCATTTTGAAATACACCCAGAGCATTAGGGTCTCCTTAACAAAGGGCTGCCCTCAAGGAAAACTCTTTACCACAGCCTAACCAATGGGTTTTACCAGCCTCTAGCCAACGTGGGGGAAGGGAATTACCCAACTCCAGCCCCTCTAGCCCTCCGTGTGGGGAAATGGAAATACCCAACTCAACCTCCTCTATCCTTCCTCGCGGGGGAAGGGAGACACCTAACTCTAGCCCCTGCTAACTATTCTGTTTCACTAAGGGGGCATGAGGAGAAAAGCTGAGAAGCACTTGTGAAGGTCATAAGCCAGGGGAACAGGGCCTCAAAAAAGCTGAGACCTAATTATAGTATGAACCTCAGTTTCTTTCACCTGATGCATCATGTCTAGCTTTCAACAAAAAATTACAAGGTGTGTTAAAAAGCAAACAGTATAGTCTGAATAGACAAAGGAAGCATTAAAACCAGACTCAGATATGGCAAAGATTTTGGAAATTTCAGATTGGGAATTTAAAATACAATTAATATGCTAAGGGCTCTAATGGAAGAAACTGCAAGAAAAGATGGGTAATGTAAGCAGAAAGATGGTAACTCTAGGAAAGAATCAAAAGGAAATGCTAGAAATTAAAAACACGGTAAGAGAAATGAAGAATGACTTTGATGGGTTCATTGGTAGACTGGACACAGCTAAAGAAAGAATCAGTGAGCTTGAAGATATATCAATAGAAATTTTGCTAACTGAAAGGCAAAAGAAAAAAGAAT